CTCCGTGGCAACATTCTCCACGCAAAGGGGCCCAAGGTGTGGCCCTGTGCAGGACGTACAATACAGCCCAGCCGGTCCAGTGCGGAAAGCCAGGTGACCCGGCCGGGAACTGGAGGTGGCAGCCTCGCTTTTGCCGAGGACTCTGCCCGGCGGCCTGGCCTCGTCTCCGCTGGGGAGGCAAGCGCCGGCTCTGCCCGGACCGCGGCTGAAGACAGCGCTGTGCTAGTGTCTTCCCCTCTGGTCCACAGTTTTCCCCACAGGGCCTGGGGGTGGTCTGTGTGCTCGCAGCGTGCCCCGCTTCCCTGTGGGGAGCCCCATGGACAAGATGGCTGAAGAGACCATGAACGCACCAGAGGATTTTGGCTGCTGGCTGGGAGAGAAGCAAAAGCAGGGTGAGAGCAGGCAGTCATGCCCAGCCCCACGTGACCCGTGGGGCTGCCCATCTCCTGACTTCCCCTCCTCCAGGGCAGCCCCCCTGAGCACCTTGAGGCCCAGAAACAGAACACGTGGCGCTCGGCCCGGCACTTTCACCTTGTGAGTGGCACACTGAAAAGGTGTCTCTTGGAGCTCTGGTGTGCGAGCGAGGCCCACGCTTCTTCGGAGCTGCTGGCCAGACCAGGAAAAGAGGCCGCAAGCCGCACCTCCAGGAATGCTTTGGCAGGAGGACAAGCCCCGCTCAGTCGCGATAAAATTTTCATGCAGGGAAGTGCTGCTCTCCGCCGCAGGCCTGCAATTAGCTGTTGCCAGGCAACCGGCGGGCTGCAAACAGCCGGGTGACACAGGGGAGGCTCCACTGCCTCCTCCTCCGGAGCCGGGGAGCTGTGCCCCCACGTCCGCCCATCCATTCTCCGGGGGAATGGCACCCGCGTCCCCCTCACCCCGGCTGTGCAGGCGGAAAGCACCGGTCATCCCACGGGGGCCTGCGAGCCAGGGGCCTGCCCAAAGCACCCCCGTCCGTGTGGACGGAGAGCCTGGGCCACGCGGACTCTCCGGCGGAAGGACACGTGGGCCAGGCACCCCTTTCTTCGCGGTCCACAAGGACAAGACAGAGGAGGGATGGGCGGCCGGCCCAGCAAAGGCTGCTCCGGATCTGCCAGGTGGTGATTTGGGGACAGGCCGGGGGACGGTGAGCACAGGGTGACCTCACTCTCGAACAGGCTCAGTTAAATAGCCTCGATGATGCTTCTAACTGGCAGTTAATGGCACGAGCAGGAAAGTACATCAGCCGGCAGGGGAGAACTGACATTTGCCTTCAAGCACCCAGGGCGATGACGTGCCCCTCGCCATTCCTTGGCGCCGTCCCAGTCCCTCGCGAGACAGAAATGGGCCAGACTCGCCACTTCCCGTCCATCCGTCCCGGCACGGCTGTGCAGCCCCACGGGCAAGAGGTTTCGGGCAATGCTCGCGGCTGGCTGCCGGCCCGCGGAGGAGGAGGGCGCTGGGGAAAGGAGCCCGCGAGGAGAGGCCAGGCGCTGGACAGGCAAGCGGGTTTCGAAGCCTGGCGTGTCACGGCTTGGGCCGGGCTCTGCAAGGCAGATGTGCAGCTTCCCCCCGCTGCCCCAACCAGCTCCTATTAGCCTGCTTGTTTGGGCGGATCGATAAAACATGCCCAGAGGGCGGCAGGCTGTTGAAGCGAGCACCATCCTCGCCGCAGCCCGTCTCACCAGGTGCCGGGGCTGCTTCTCAGGCAACCGCAGGCGCTCATGCACTGGCAACGTGGCGCGCGAGGCGTCCTCCTGACGGGGAAGAGGCCGGTGGTGGCCGAGCCCCTGGGCGACCGCCGGGCTGGCTCTGTGCTGCTCCCGGCGCTGCCCGTGGGCCCCGAAGGGCTGGCGAGTCCTGGGGGAGGCTCAGCCCCCAGGGCCGCTCTGGCAGCCGTTTGAGCACGGGGCCTGGCAAGCCACCTGGGAAAAGCAGGCCAGATCGTGCCTGACTGGAGCGGGGGTCTGAAGAAGCGCTCTTGGAAGGCCCCCGCGAGGCTTCGCAGCCTGGGAGGCGGCTGGGGCGCTCCAGCGAGGTGGGGGCAGCGCACCGAAACGGACGCGGGCTCCAGGGCAGACCTCCGTGCATGCAGCAAAGCCTTTCCCCGATGGGGGCGCTCGTGGGAAGGCACTGACCCCCTTTCGCCCCGGGGGCCGGCCCCTGCTCCAAGGGGGCAGGCGACCGCAAGGCATGATGGGACCCGGCGTCAGGCAGCGGGGGCTCCGCTCAGGTGCAAGAAGTGTGGGCCACTGTCCAAATGTGGGTGCCAGGCCTGGCCCCTCCCTGGCTCCACGGCCTGCCTCTCACGCTGCAGGGAGGGCCGTGGGGGTCAAGAGGGCTGCACCCATCAGCCACGCTCCTGCCCCAGGGGCTTTTTCAGCATCTTGGCCAACCGTGAATATTCCCTTCTTTTCACTCATGGCGGGTTGTGCCATCAAATAAACTCTTCTCCAAACAGCTCTTCGCCCCAGGTCTTTAAAAAAAGGGGGGCAGCTCAGCACATCGCACAGGCTGCCATAAAAAAGACCGACAGATCTGTGGGGTGACGTGGTTTAGTGGGAGCATATGCGTTGGGCTAGAAATGGCCCCCTGTGGCCTGTGGGGAAGAAAGGGTGTTCCCTCCACCTGCCCATCCCCGTCTGACCAAGCTGGGCATCCTTGACGGGTGCCTGGACCCCCCTGCTTTCCCAGCTGCCCGCTATTCCCCTTCCAAGGGAAGAAGCTTGCAGTTCAAACAAGCATTTGGTGCTTGATTTGGAGGTAGGCTGATGCACGCCGTCTTCCAAACACCATCTTCAAAGTGGTCAAACCTCCTTTCCCCCGAGAAACTGGCATTTTCTGGAGAACCTAGAAGCTGGGAACAATGTGCAAAATCTTCCCCCTGATGGGAACGAAGGCTGGGGAAGGAAGACGATGAGGATCTCACCGCAAGGGGGGTGAATTCCCCCTGCTCCTTTGTAACCCCCCTCCTTGGACATTACCCCTGCCCAGGTTTTGAATCCATGCAGTCGCACAACCCCAAAAGTTCACAGCTGTGCACTTGTACCTAGCTTTTTGGCAGCTACGGAAAGACCCTTCCCGGGGCCACCAGGGCCATGGCGGCAGGCTGGCATTTGCAATCTCAAGGGCAAAGGGGAAAAGAAGGAGAGCCGCAGCAAGCCCGAGCAGCGTGCAGCTCTTGCCACGGACCCCGCGGCCAGTCCCTCTGCCCCTTGGCGGGGTCGGTCATTGACGACCTGCAGGATCCCTCCAGTGTGATGCTGCCAGCTCCACTGGCCACTTCCTGGGGTCAGAGCAAGCGCCGGCTACACAAATATCTTCTCTGCTCATGTTTTCTTGGGGTTCATTCTGGGCACCCTTTTTAAGGGAAAAAAGAAAGCCAGAAATTGCTCAGGCTGTGCAGTGCCACGTCCGGAGCCGTGGGAAGCCCTCAGTGCCTGTGGGAGGGCCACCAACCAGGTTCCAAATGGCCAGACCTTTCCTCGCCCTGGCTCGCCACTTATCTCACGCCAAATTCCTGTCCCCAATAGCTGTTCACACAAATGGCAAACATGCACAAATCATGCAGCAATCCACATCTGTTGCCCCAGATTCGCATGCCTTTCAAAATGGGTGCAACTTTCCCCCAGTGGCTAAATTGCACAATTAGGAAAAGCGCCCACCACGCGAACGGACAAGGTGAAACCGAGCGCACGGTCCGCATATACGGGTCTCCTTGTGGGGTGCATGCTTGCGCATGTTCTCATTCTTGGGGCTTCAGGTGGGATCCACTCGGTCCCCTGGCAAGCTGAAGCCAAACGCTCACATGAGCCGAAGAGGTGAGCCGGCTTTGCGCTCGTGGGGAGCTTGCGCCCTCCGGTGGCCAAGGTTTGAATTTAGGGAGACCAAAGTGGACCGGGCAGGTGACTTTATGGGTCTGCACAATTCACTAGTGGAGCAGCCAGGCCTTCCCTCACCCCGGAGCTCACGGGGCCCCCGTTTAGATGGCCAGGAGGAGTATTTCAGTCTCCCCACCCCAAAGAGCTCCTTGGCAGCTGCGCCTTCCATAGTCTAGTCACAACAGGACAAATGGAAAGGATATAAAGACTTGCTTGCTAAGTCTGGTGCAAGGATCGAAATGCATGTGTGTGCATCTTAAATGCACTTAGATCACAATGACAGAAATAAAACGACTGGCGCAAAGGGCATTTCCTGGGAAATAAGCACAATTTTGCAGATGAAAAGGATGATGGGTTAAGGCAGAAAATAGTAAAACGAGCATCTCTCTCCCTCTGCTTGCCCGGCTGCCCTGTGCCTGTAACTTATTTTCAAAAGGGAGCCGAAGGAGGGGACGCGGAGAAGGCAGCAGCCTCCTGGCAGGCCTGTGCTGACTTGGGGGTTGCTAGGTCTGTGGCCAGCCCCCCCCCCCCACTGCTGCTTTCAGTGCTCTCCTTGGGCCCACCGAGGCAGCAGGGCCGTGGACGTAACTCCAGAGCCCACCCTCCCCGAACCACTGGGTACGTCCAGTGGCACGTGGGCACAGGTGCTCTTGTCTTGAGCGCTTGGGCAGAGACACCATGATAAGCCGGAGCTTTTGTGTGGGACAGGGGGCAGCGCCAGCCAGCAGGGCAGGGGTTTCTTTTTGCCCCAGGGAAAGATTAAACTTTGGAGCAGCTGGGGGGGGGGGCTTCTTGGGGATGGAAGGTGTGGATGCCAAGAGGGGAGGGCGAAAACTGCCAGCATCTTTCAGTGCAACCCTCTCACTACCAAAGGATCAGGGGCCAGGAGAAATCAGGTGTGGCCAGGAAAAGGGGCAAGGCCATCCGGGGAACCCTGGCCACTGGAAGTTCTGTTGTAGGATCTGTCAAAAGCCAACTCAGCGCCGGGAAGGTTTCGTTGCAAATATCTCATCTGATGCTTTTTGTTTGTTTGCGTATTGTATTTATTTTATTCCTAATTGCAACACTTTTACATAGTTATATTTGTCTAGCTATCCCTGGTATCTTGTTTGCTGGCTTGCATGGCCATAAAGCGATCTTAGGCACTCTTGCTCATGCACCCGCAAGATAGCACGTGCTCGGCGCAATCCCTGCAGCTACAGGAGAAGAGAGCAGAATCCCTGCCCGATGTCTCAGCGGTCGTGGAGCCAGAGAGCGGAGGGCGGCTGGACAGCGCCCGGGGCGTGTGGCCTGGGCTGGGGGTCTGGCATAGCCCAGGAGTCATCCCTTAGAAGTGTTCCCTGAAGAACCGGAAGCTGAATCGCTCACAGTGCGCTTTGATGACCTTGGCAAGAGCTGGGGAGCCGCAGAAGAAAACGTGGACTTTCCCCTTCTTTTCTTCAGCCAGTTTCTGAAAGAGCTGAGAAAAGGGAGGCGTGAGAGACGAAAAGAGCAGCAGAGACGGAAAGGTAGCACCTCTCCTCTCCGGCTTTGGGGGGCCTTCCAGAAAACCTCCCGTGACCCTTCTTGAAATGCCACCCATCCTCCAAGGACTTCAGGGCGCTTGCGGTGTTCTCTGCCCATCCATTTTATTCTCATAATGAGGACAGAGGCAGCACAGATGGAGAGTGTGGATTTTCGCCTGCATTTCCCCATTTCAACCTGATACTTTCTTCCATGCATGGCACGGATGCTCTTCTTCCAAAGCAACCCAGATCAGAATATCCATGGAGGGCAAAGCGTCAGGCCACTCTCCCCTCCCACGTCTGGGTCCCAGCCTGGAGGAGAGGCCCAGATCTACCTGACGCTTGCTTCTTTTTCACATCGACCCTCTCTCTGCCTGGGTGAGTTCCCACTGGCACCCAGGTTTGGCTGGTGCACCCATTTTGGCCTCCAGAGACAGGGATGGACCAGAAGCCTTCCAAACACAACACTCAGCTTCCTCCAGCACACCAAACCTCTCCCAGCTTCTCCAGAGGAGCAGCCTTGCAGCCAGACCATCGCTGATTCCAAGCAAGGGTTCTGGATTCACAGCCTCTCCCAAATCCAGTGAGTTTTATTCTGGCTGGAGCCGTGGAGGAGCCACTGGTGCCTTCTAACCCCGGCCCACTCGTGATTTCCTGTTGATCGTCTCCCTTGCAAATGCACTTTCTCGTCAGAAACGTCTGGATTCGCAGGAGTGGTGAATCATGAGAATGAAATTACTAACCTCGAATCGCCCTTTCTTGGGCTCCCCGGAGCCTCACAGAACATGGGCTGGCCAAAGATATGCATTCCAACAAGGGGGCGAACAGGCAGAGTGCCCCCCCCCCCCACGAGCCAAGGGTGTTGTTGGTCCAACCAAAAACAGAGGAAGGTGCAACGCTTGAGCCACAAAATGCGGAAAATGGGGAAGAGTTTTCCAGAGGAAAGAAGCCGTTTTCACAGGCTGGACACCCAGCGCATCTCGCCGGGGTCACTGGCAGGATCATACACCAGTTCTCATCGCAAGGCCAGTCAACTACCGCTATAAGGGAAACCCAGGCGGGCTCACCTGGAATGCCCAGCGGAGTTGCCGCTGGCGACCAGGAAAAAGCCGAACCCTCCTGGAAACAAGCCCGCAAGTGTTGCTGGCCTCCCGAGGGGCTCTGGGGTCACCGCAGCTTGGCATCTGCCTGCCACGGACCCTTCCCTCCTGCAATGCCAGGTCTCCCCCATTATGGCACGCGCCACCCCTCCCATGGCTGCAGGGGTGCAACACCGGCCGATTCCCCCGAGGGTCGGCTCAGCAGCCCACCTTGTCCCAGTCCGGGCGCCCCAGCTGGGTTCTGGTCCGGAGCCCCGTGATGGAGTCCTTCTGCTCCCTCTCCGCCAGCAGGTCCAACGCCATCTGCAGCCCGGTCGCCTTCATGTCGTTCTTGCCGAGGGCCGCGGTCATGAACAGGTGCATCTCCAGGAAGCGGCCTGAGCGTTGGAGGGCAGCGGGGGGGGGGGGGGGGGGGCCCCCCTCATGTGTTTGTGGGCCACCCGGCCCACACGAGAAGGGGCTCTGCAGACCTCGCCCCGTCGGCACGGGGTGCTTCTCCAGCTAAGCCCGAGCTCTTCCCACGTGTGGAGACGTCCGGGGGGCGTGTGCGCTAGAGCACCCCCACCTCTGCTCACGTGCTGAATGCATGCGCAAAAGGGCAGGGGGCCAATCATCAGGATTGCTGCGGGGAGGGGGGGATTTGGGACCATCTCCCTCCCTCCCTCCCTCCCTCCCTCCCCCTTACACACATACTGGAATTTTTGGAATTTCAAGTCAAAATCAGCGTGGAAAAGCAGAGGGGAAGGCACCCCATGAGATCTGAAGCTGCACCACTAAAAGACGGTGGGAAAGAGCATGCCTGGGTGGGAATCAAGCCCTCTTGTTCCAGCCAAACCTCCCCATCATGAGCTCAGCCCCTCTGGTGCCCCCCCCCCCCCCCCCCCCCCCCCCCCCCCCCGGCCCGCCCCCCCCGGGGCCCCCCCCCCCCCCCCCGCTGCTGCAAGGAGTTCAGTCTGGCGCTCGGAGAAGCAAAGCTGGCGACGTGGCACGGCATACCTGCGGGGTCCCCCGTGGCCTGGCCGATTTCCAGCTGGGTGAGCAGGCTGATGAACCATTCAAAGGACTTTTGATCCCGATTGATCCAAATAAAGTCAACCTGAAGACAGGACGTTGCGATCTTGCTCTTAGCTGTCTTTATAGCTCAAGTTTTGCTTCAGGAGAGTGGCTGAGCCGCCATCAAAAGCATCTCCTTACCTTTTGGAGTTTCATTGGGTCATTTTTAAGATTCTCGCCCGATGCGCAGTCCTGGCTGGAGGAGGCTTGCTTCTGCATGTGGTACCTAGGTGGGGAAAGTTCCGGGCATCCAGAAATCAGCCAGCCGCTTTCCACAACTTTTTACAAGCTGGCATTAAAACGCCACCAAAAACAGCCGATTGCCTGCCATTTTGTCTGTTTGACCACAAGGTTTAAAATGGGCAAGTATTGTTAAGCACATGCACACGATTT